CAACATCCAGTAGCAACAGTACTGTTGGTAGGGATGCGATGCGTGAGATCAGACGGCCAAGTTTACGACCAGACGAAGAGACACCACGACATTTCCCTAAACCTTCGAGGGAAGATCATCCACTATCCCAGAGTGTAACCGCAAGTCCAGAATCAAAAGAAGACCGCTTCTCCTATTTTGGCTCCGCCTCGCGCACGGAGCCATCCTCCACTGCGGCCACCCCTCAAGCGGAAGAGCCCGGATCCCGCCCCGACCCTCCCGAACGGACCGTTTCCAGCGCTGAATCCGCGAAAACGGTAAGACCATTCACTGCAGACACCACCACCCTTTCATCCCAACCTCGTGCGACTACTCCGACCCTGATTGAGTCCCTGGGAGCGTCCAGTATCACGGGAATATTCGGTGGGGCCGGGCGCCGACTAGCCAAGGGCCTGCAGAGCGGTGAATGGCGGAGCGAGAGGTCCCGATCTACGGATAGACTCTCCTGCGAAACGGACGGACACTGTGAACCAACCCTCGCAATCAACACTACATCCGTAGAAGGGCGAATGCAAGCTCCCGACCCCTTCCGCGAACAGTCGTTGAGTTCCTCCGTACGCTCCGAGGGGTTCAACCACCCCAGCGGTCTCTCAGGCCCGCGCCACTGGCGAAGTCGTTCCCACCACCTCCCAACCGATTCTGAAACTTTCCAACCTTCCCGTCAGGCAATACTGCGTCCTCCTCCCAACAACAGGCCCCCACAAGAACCCCTAGCTGATACAAAATATGCACCCTTCAGACGCCGAGAAAGCGAGACACCCTCAAACGACTTTCATCCTTCCCAAAACGGTGGTCAATGTTCTCGGAAGGTAGCAGAGTGGAGGCAGAACACCACGACGGCGGGCCAGGTTGAGGCTTCTTCTTCTCATCACTGCCCCGGCGGGGGTCTCGAGATGTCGCCGCCGTCCGCGACTACGATTTCGTCCACGGCCTTCTCGTCGTCGTCGGCTGATGACTTTAGTGGGATGTCGCAGAGTGCTTCGCATCCAAGTATCCCGTCTGTTGTTTCGGGCGCGTCGTCGCTCTCCGCAGATGGGTTCCAGACCTATATAAACGAAGGGAAGAAGGACGATGCGCCTAACGAAGTCCCCGCGATGATGCGAACAGGCGAAACGGTCACCATCCGCGGTAAGCGGCAGGGTGACCACGCCGAAGAAGACGAATCCAAATACTACTCCGGCGACGACGAAGGGGAAGAAGACGAATCCGACGATGACGACGGGATTGTTTTCGGTAAAAAGAAACCCGTTGCAGCTGCCAAAGCTGCTGTTAATGACGAAGAAGCCACCATTTGAGTTGATGATGCTTCCCTTCCTTCCTCCTCTTCTTACGACCGATTTCAAATTTTTGACAAGATGGATATGTATGGGATTTGACGAATATACGCGGCATATATGACATTCATGAAGATATTACCTACCACCTACCTACCCAGCTTATGGTAACTCCCTCGCATCTATCATCACTATTTATTTTATTCTACATTTTCTCCACGCGAGTTGCTGGGTTATATATCAACAAAGCCGCTTCTCCCTCGTGCGCTTCTTTCGTTCGCTTCTTACAAACAAACGACCCCCTTTTCCACCCATCCATCCATTCGGCATCATTCACGGCATTGGGAAAAAATCAGGCGCTTCCTCACTCACAGCGCGGGTGCGTTGTATCGCATGCATGGTTTACCCGGAAGAAGAAAAGCACACGAGATACCCCCTTTTTAATTCTATCTTTCGTTATCTTTCCCTTTCCCATATTCCATCCGTCCGCTATATACCTCTTGCTACTGTTGCTGCTGCTGCTGTTGTTGAGAAATCATCACTGTTTGGGTTCAATTGTTTCATATTTCTTCTTTTTCATATCACTTGAAGCATACATACATAACATTTGTCTCGAAATTCTTTGTGGTGTCGTCAGCGTCATTTGGTGCATTTGGGGAATATCTTTCTCTTTCCTTATCTTTCTTTACTTTACTTTACTTCCTATGTACAGGGGCATCGGGCATCAGGATTTTGGCTTATGAGATCTCACACACTCTTCTCTGTTTATTTTTTCTCTTTTTTGTTTCTTGTTTCGGCTTACTTTCTTTCTTCTATGTGAACCATTTTTGAGCGTGTGTCTGACTGATATTTACTTCTTTATATCTTTTCCTTTGAACATAATGCACGAGACTCGCTGGGAAAAGATGCGCACACGCTTTGAAGTATGTATGTACAGCAATCCCCACACTTCGTCAGCTAGCTGGTGATAGTTAGGGTGATGAGACGACGCATGGCGATCTGATCTGGCATCTCTTGATGAGATCCATTGATCTGGATATGTTTTGACTTCTTTTTTTTTCTTTCACTTCTTGTATATAGCTTAATCCGACATTTTTTATAAACGCACACACATCTCTCTCCCTCGATGACGTCTGATGAATTAGCCCTCGCTAGTAGTGGCTTTACTAGCAGTTTCCCTCCACGTTGTCTTTCTTCCAAACCCCTGACTGAGTAGCCTTTGATATGAATCCTCGAAACGAACCAGATGTGTCCACCTATCAGTAAGTAGCACCAATATAGTCATACCTCAACCAACGTCCCCAGTCCCTCTAGAGTACTCAATAACCGCAGGATTCATTCAACTCATCGTACTCCCGATACCTTCATCTCGGAGAGCGCTTCATCATCTTCTAGTTCTTCCGGGTAATGTAATCTGCGACTTAGGTAGAGTTGTTTGACGACCTTTTAGGGAGAGGTGCAGAAGGCGACGATGGGGAAGTGCAGTATGTTTAGGTTAATATATATTTTCCCCGATGACCACCGCTGGGAGGTCGTCAAAAAAAAATATATATATACATGGTTAAGGACATTGTTGAGTAATATTTATTTACTCCCATTAATAGTTAGATCTATAATTACTCGGGGTGAAGCTCTCTACTTATGTATAGGGGCATTCCTGTTCCTCCCTCCTACTCCCCGTTTGCTTATTTGGTATCATGACCTAATTTTCCGACTCCTTTCCTCCCGCGGGACCTGCGACTTCCCTTTTCGTTGTGGGGAAGTGACTATATAAGGCAGTATTTCTATTGATAGGTTCCAGTCCTTTTCTCCTTTTCCTTTCTCGAGGCTTTGATAGAAGTCTTGGGGAAGAAGAGTTGTGTGTTTAGATTGATCCTTATCGTCGTATGTTGACCTTACTTTTCAGTTTAGGAAGTTTCTAGAGAGTTTGGTTCCTGCAGGAGAGATCCGTTGCATTGACTCTGAAAATATATAGTACTCCCCGATCTCGCCCAACACTTTCATCCGCAAGCGTTGAAGCTCCTTTATCGACAGCCAGGTGGGTTCTGCAAATCATGTAGAAATACGATCTACTAACTTCCAAATCCACCGCAGACTATTACTGTCCTACTTACTCAATTGGACACCTAATCATTAGCCATGGTTCTGACAGACTTGCTGGTTCGAGTATTCGGCTCCTTCAACCTCCGCTGGCAAATCATCATACTCGCAGCAGCTACATGCATCGCGGCACCACCTCTGCTCCACAAGTCAAGGCTCCTATATATCTCCTGGAAGAAGAAGAAGGAGCCCCCCGTACCTGTATCAGTCACCTATTTCCCCTCCTCGCATTGTTGCGACGGCACATGCTGCTCCCACGTTGAGAAGACCTTCTGCATGCTCACCGTGGAGGAAGCAAAGCAAGGTCTCAGGAAACTTGCCGACGCAGGGATGATGAAGATTAACCTAGCTGGCGAGGATGTGTTTCGTTTCCCGGACTTCCTGGGACTTATTTGCCAGTATTGTAGGGAGGTTCTTGGCTTGGAGTCCGTGTCTATCGTCACCACCAATGGGATGGAATTTACTGAGGAGTGGCTGAATAAGTACGGGTTTTTCGTGGACTTTATCGCCGTTTCGTGCGACTCGTTTGATGAGAAGACGAACAATGAGATTGGGCGTGGGAGTGGTAGTAATATCCAACAACTTTGTCGGATAAAGGCTTGGTGTCAGGAGTATAGGGTCGGGTTCAAGATGAACACGTTCGTTTGCAGCCTCAATTGGAAAGAGGATATGTCCGTTTTGATCGGGGAGTTGAACCCTGTTCGTTGGAAGTGTTTTAAGGCCCGGTTTGTCAATGGAGAGAATCACGAACAGGACGGTGAAGGACGGGGAAAGATGTTTGATAAGTTCCATATCACAGACGAGCAGTTTGAGGCGTTTTGTGAGAGGCACAGGCATCTTGGGGATCGATTCACTCCTAAGTCGAATTCGGTGAAGGCGAAGAGTTACCTCCTTCTCGACGAGTTTATGAGGTTCACGGATACGGGGAATGGAGTCGGGAAGACGTCGGAGTCCATCCTGAATGTCTCCGTGGCAGAGGCACTGTCTCAGGTGGGTTGGGATGAAGAAAGTTTCAAGAAGCGCGGTGGAATATTTGACTAGAGGAGGGAAGCTCCTCATCCGCAGACTGGGGGAGGTTGTGGTGCTACGGAGAAGAATTAGACTGATGAAAGATGATCATTGGGGAAGTGAGACTGGGAGAGAGGCTTACAGAGGTTATCGTGAGCCCGTATGCCCGGGGATTATTCCTATTTCTCGTGCTCAGTATTTTTAATGCCCGTTATTAGACCTGGCTAGAAGGAGGAAAGGGAGGTTATCTCCCAGAATTAGTTTGTGTAACAGTCTTTATGAATAGACATAGACTCCTTCATGTCCTCCCGACCCAGGAGGCCTGGTGACACAGTTACTCGAGTGCATTGAGCAACATCGTCTTCGTATCTCGTTATAAGCTCAATTTTCATTTTAAATAAGTATTCACGATGCCTCCGTTAAGAATAATTCGCCCAGGGTTTACACCTTTCAAAGGCCCAACATATCGAGATATTCGTTGTCAGCCCTTGGATCGTACGACTTTTTAGGGCTCCCCCCCCACCCTAACACCCGCTCCTAGCCCACGATGCCAAAGTTGAACATTCAAACGAGCAATAGGGGGTTATGGCCAAGCTGGGAAGGCGTTCGACTGAAGGAATTCAGCCAATTTGACCTAATACGTTATCGAAAGATCCCCGGTTCAATCCCGGGTGACCCCAATTGATTGTTTTGCTATTTTTTTCGTCTTTATTTTTTGATATTATTTTGGCGGTTGACTCAGAGTGGATACGGGAGATGAGAGTCGAAGGATGGAGACACGTGAAAAGTGGCCCCTTGCGTTTCGCGGCATTCCGATAATTCCTGGATTGAAGTCGGCGACTATAAAATATAATAAGCCATGGGTGCTGCGTGGATATTTCGAGGGTTGACAGTAACCATTTGAACGTGGATTGTCAAGCACTGAAGATGGACTTCAGTCTCTATTCCATCTCATCGAAACTCTTCTTCCTCTACCTCCTCTACAGATTGATATATTTCATCAAGCTCTATATCAATGGCCGCCGCACAGGGTTTCCTGTGTATATCGTGCCTCTCCCTACGAAAACTATCCCTTGGTTAGTCCTTGCCCCGGCGTTGAGGCATCATTTGGAAAGGTACTTGCCGGGATGGATCTACGAGCGACTTGATGTTACGATTCATGGGTGGGAGTTTCAGAGGAAAGCGGAGATGCATAGGCGGTTGGGGAAGGCATTTGCGGTGGTTTCGTTGGACGAGTGCTCGTTGTGGTGAGTCTGAGGCTATGGGGAGGTTTTTTTAATCGGGTTGTTCTAATAGACTGTTTAGGGTGGCGGATCCAGCGGCTGGAACGGTGATTTTACAGAGGAGAAAGGACTTTTTACAATCGCCTCTGTCGGCGAAAATTGTGGGCTTGTTAGGACCAAATGTTATTGGGGTGGGTTGTTCCATTCCCAGCAGTGTTCTCTAAATGGTTTTGTTAATGACTGATAAATTTCTAGGCAAATGGTGAAGACTGGTAGGTGTTCTATCTAACTCTTGCGAGTATCTGTCCTTTTTCTAAGGAGAATATCACAGGCAGCGCCAGCGCAGGGTGGTCGCCCCCAATCTGAACGAACGGATTAGCGAAACCGTGTGGAACGAGAGTTGCCAACAGGCTGGAACTATGCTCGAGTATCTCGAGAAGAACCCGGGAGGCGAGACGCTGGATGGCCTGCGCTCAATTGCTATCAATGTTATTGGCCAGGCTGGGTTCGGACAGTACCAACCGTGGTCCCCCGATGTAAGAAGTCTCGCTGAAAACGCTGGGTCAAAAGGCGGGCGGGCGGCCTACTTTGGGGCACTGTCTTTAGTAACAGACAAGATCGTTGAAGCGGCGCTAGTTTCACCCAAGTTTCTACAGATGGGGTTCATGCCGTCAGCTACAAGACTCCTTGGCCATCATATGGAAAATATACCTCAATATGTCACAGACATGTTGGAGGAAGAGAGAGGGATTGTTAACAAGGGATCAGGCCCTCGCAGCAATTTTCTGAGCATGCTGGTGCAATTATCCGATAAGGAGAAGGGCACTGGATCATCCGGCACTTCTCTCACCGAGGATGAGATTAGTGGCAATCTCTTTGCATTTACTGCTGCTGGGTTTGACACCACTGCTAATACTATGGGTTACGCGGTGATTGTCTTGGCCGCATACCCGGAATGGCAGGATTGGATTCGCGAAGAGCTTCATAATCTTAAGCCGGACATTTCAACGGGGAAATATGAAGAGGTCTTTCCAAGATGCCAACGTGTATTGGCGCTTATGGTAATTGCCCCTTTCTATATTTAATCGATAGCCGTTGCTTTAAAAAACTGACTGTCCATAGCTCGAAACGCTCCGTCATTTCCCGCCAGTCTCTCACTCAACCCGCCATGTTTCCGAGCCGCAACAGTTCACCGACTCCAGCGGAACTCATATGCTCAACCCTCCAATGGACGTCTACGTCTCACACCAGAGTATCCACTGTGACCCCGAAATCTGGGGACCCGACGTCTTGGATTTCGATCCAACGAGGTGGATAGATAAAACGACCGGGCAAGTCATCACACCACCCAAGGGAACATACCTCCCTTGGTCCGGCGGACCAAGAGTTTGCCCCGGAATTAAAATGTCGCAAGTGGAGTTCGTAGCTACTCTTGCAACGCTATTTCGGTCAGGAAGGTGCGAGCCTTTACCGAGTCCTGGGAGAGAGAAGCCAGAGGAGATGAGGCAGAGGTTAAGGGAGTTGATGGCAGATTCTATAAGTAAGTTGACACTACAGGTGAGGAATCCTAAGGAGGTGAGGTTAAGATGGGTGAGGGATGCCTGATTGCGGGGAATCCAGTCGGAGGGTTTGGTCTAGGCCACGGACATCGGCGTTCGTTTCTATAAAATCACGCTTATATATAAAATTCTCGAGAATCCGTACCCTTTTCTCCCATCTCCATTGATCGTCATATGTTGATCTTGAACCTGTTGATCATGTTCTCGAAAGCTCGGTGGTCGGTGCGAAGAACGAAATTCCGCTCCCGGTATTTTATCTCTCTCCGAGGCAATTGTGCATATGGTTAACCGCAAATCCTCACCAGGCCGCTTTGACAAGATATTCACGCAGAGCCTCTTCCTTCACTTGTTCGGCGTTTGTTCCTATTTTAGATAAACCTCTCGCGTGGTAGTGTGATAAAAATAGCACACTGACATGTCAGGTACAAGGATGTGTGGGTCTGGCCGCCCTATGGTCACGTGTAACAACTCGATATCAAAATCCTTTGCGGTGAACAAAAGTCACTTTATTGCAACTCCGTGTTGAATTCATACGACAACTCGTCTGACAATAGAAAGTGGTCTCTTATGACCAAAAAACGTAGCACTGCTGTTGCGCTGTCCCAGCGATAATGCTCCTTCCCCAGGCGAGTTGAGGCTCTTCGGACAAGAGAACGAATTGAGCAGAAGCCTTGCCCCCCTGGCTCTCAAATACGAGATCAGTGCCAGTTGGCTGGAGACTTTGGCGAGAACCTGATCCACTCAGTTAACGGAAGATCCTTCCACCAACCCAATTGGGCTACTATTTGCCCTAAATGGGGATGCGCTTTCAAAGAGGTCACGGTCGAGAAGGAAAAAGGCGGGTTTCTCGGTCCTAAACAGCCGCCCAGCCTTGTCAGGCAAAAGTTTTCTGGACTCAGGTGTCTGTCTCCGCGGACTCGCGAAGATATAAATTGAGGCATCTTTCCCCAGGTTGGGTGTTGTCTCTTTATCTGACTCTCCAAAGCATTTACTGACAAACAAAATATAAAACCCTCCGGGCCAAAGACTACTCATAAGCCCCTCTACCTAACCTTTCATGATGAAGGTCCTCTCTCTCCTCTCCATCCTCGCCGGCACTGCACTCGCAATCCCCAGCGCAGAACTCGCCAAACGAGACCCCGAACTCCACGCGCGTGCCACCGCTGCCGCCACAGTTTGCGGTTCCGGCTACTCATTCCAGGATGCTATTCCCCTCCCAGAGGGCACAGACCCTGACATGCGCCTTGCCATGCTCTTCTCCTACGAAAACAACGGTAACGGATGCGCAATCCTAGACAACAACACCGGTCCGAGCCAATACATGTATATCCGTGTGTGCAACGTAGATGGGTCGAGCTGTGATACCGATTCGGGAACTTTTAGCGAATATGCTGGACCGGTTTATGTTAAGAGCTTTGCTTGCGCGGAAGTTACGGCGAAGATGGGGGAGACGTCTGGGAGTTTGTATATCGATTACCAGTCGGACTATGTTTTCCCATGCAACTAAGGTGCTGGGAGGCTGTTGGAGATACCCCGAATTCGATGGATGGAATTCTTGGCTACGGGTTGGATAGGTTTAGGCGGGATATCGGGTCGACAACCAATCTGACATTCCGGGCGTTCAGAAGTTCTCTCATTGGGAGGGAGGTTGAGCATTTGCATGGCATACATACACTATCTATACGAATTTAAACGACGACATGTCATCAGAAGCCCCTACTTAACATTCATCGAGGCCTCAAATTCCCTTGATCGCGTAACAACTTCCAATCTGTACCAAGGTTAATCAGGACATCTCACATTTCTCATTGCATAAATAATGGAAGTAGGAAAGCACTATCTCTAATCGCCAAGTCTCTCGTGCCTGTTTGCACCTTATGCCATGCCTCTATATATATCTGATGACAGTAGCTCTGCATACGAAGCCAACCCGAGCAAAAAGGGTGTTGGCCCATAATCAATGGTAGAACCGTACTCCGTCTATTTACCTCACTCAGTCTGAATTGGGCTAAAACCCCTCATCTAGTAATCATCGCTCTGAGTGTGTAGTCTCTATCTATACGGGTGGAACCAGGAGAACTGCGATTGTTAAGTAGGTGGCTAACAACTGTTTCACTGGGTGGTCCTTATATGGATTGAACCCCCCTTGTTTGAAAGGTTAAGGCACTCCCGTTTTCAGTGAAACCAACGACTAGATTCCGTCAATTTTCAGGGGTCAGAGTTGGTTAGTACCCAACTCTTGACGTATTCACACGGGTTGTAATGTGCGCAACGCTTCTGGACCGCCGTGTGCCACAGAGTCTATCAGATTTGTAGACAATGCTGGATGGGTGGTAAGATAGGTAGATCCTAAAATAAGGCCTCACGCATTCTCGAAGTTGCTTGCGAGCCAGGCCTCGTGGAGTTTCTTCTGCCTTTCCCAATCCTTCCTCAATTTTTTGCTGCGGCTTTTGGTGATATCATTGCCAGAGTGATCCTTGATTGGCACACCATCTTCGTCCCATGCTCTAAACTCCTCGTTTTTAAACATCTCCAGGGGGCTGAGTTTTCCCTTCGCGAGCTTTTCTAGTTCCTTTTGCTCCCGTTCTTCCCTTAGGCGCTTCTTCTGCAAGAGCTGCTCCTCCTGCTTTTGCCGTGCCTCAACTAGGTCTCTGGTAACTGGACGTACTAAAGCTGGCTTGTTTTCTCGATCCTCCAAATAGATACCCAGATCAAAAAGATCAATGTCTCGAACGCGGTCGCAGAGCGCCAATAGTTCCTTCGATATACCTTCGGGTCCATCGAACTGAATAGCCATGACGTTGTTTTTGAAACCAGTGAGAACATCGGCATAAGGCTTTGCAAGATCCGATACGAGTTGCTCATTATCAGGGCTAGTGCAAAATTTGCCAGAGAGCA